CCCCCCCGCTTGAATATGGGAATAGGCATTATATTATTGGCGCTTGTCTCTCTCTCTCTCTCTCTCTCTCTCTCTCTCTCTCTCTCACACACACACACACACACACACACACAAAACCCCCAAACTTTGGGCACAGAAATAAGATCCCTATGCCAATATAGAAGTGGTTAACAGTCAGGGCAGAATGTTTCTCATGCTGACCAGATGTTTCATTGGCTGGGATAGATGGAGTATGGTTCACCAAACGGGCTGGCATCACACAGGTGCTGTGGTTTAGCCTGAGAAGCATTCTGAAAGCCTCTTGAGAGACACAGGAGCAGAAGATGGGGAGAGAGCGAAGCCTTCGGAGGAGTGGTGACTGGTGCCCATTGGGAATAGTGGGGCAGAAGGCAGGGAGACAAACAGTAGGTGCAGCCAGAGCCAATGACAGGTTGAGGCAACTAAATGTTGTCCCCATCTCCCCCCTTGCTAAGTTCTAGCAAAAGTCCACAAGACTAAGGAGGAGGAAGCTGTCAGGCAGGCAATGTGTGAACATGAGCCTTGCTGGATCAGGATCCCATTTTTCCTGTTGCTGCAACAACTCTTTGGAGAAGGCCTGGCTTTCTAGACTCAGGTCTGCTGCAAATCTGTCATTCTGCCTACAGTTATGAAGGAGTGTGTGTGTGTGTGTGTGTAAAACCACTGTCTCTGTCAATCCCATTTGATACTCCTTTTTTGTTTCTTGCCGGTATCTAAGCTCATAGATATTCAAGTGTGGTGCATCGCTTTACCATCATTTTCTATTGAATAATTAAAACCGTGTCACCTTGACAATGTCTGGCGGATAAAGCTGTGGCAGGTATAGAAGCTTGTGCGCGTGTGTGTATAAACATCCTCATATCGAAGGATGCCCATTCCCCCTCTTAATTAGTCACCCCAAGGATGTTTCATAATCTCTTCAATTCTCCTGGAGGAGTCCCTCTGCATCCCTTTGGAAGCTCTGATTATTTTCCCTCCCTTTCTCTATTTTATGTCTCTCATTTCTGGAGGGCCTGTATCAGCCTCACCATCCTTCCCATGTAGGAAGGCTAGACGAGAATCCCATTGGAACTCATCCACACTCGTGTTCACGTAATTGGCACAAGAGGTCAGTGTCTGAATACTCTCCTCCCCCACCACCCTGCCAGCACCCCCTTCTCATGGTCTGCCTGTATAGCTCTAAGCGTATTATTACCGCAAGAAGCTGAACCCCTTAAAGTCCAGAAACAGAGAAGCTGAGACAAAAGGAAACCCCACCGATATTATTGAAAGAGGAGAAATGGAAGCAGCAAAGCAACAAAGGAATGTTTAGAGCATGAGGTTTGTCATAAAAATCCGGCATGTTTCTTTTGCTTTTCGAGACAGGTCTTCGATTCATTATCCTTTGCGTGTGAACCCATGTGATCTAAGATTAGCTTTAATTCAAAGGCCTTGATTATGCGTTTCTGAAGCAATTGTTTATTAATAATCATGGTATAATCAGAAACTGCTTAATTTTATTATCAATGCTCAAATTTATCGCTCAGTGTTTAATTTTACAACTAATTAATGATTAAATTGTCAGCGATTGCACCTCAAGTTGGCAAAGTATCTCACCACTTTAATCTGTTTTATTCTATTAAATAAAACTGCTCACTAAGAGATCTTTATTACTCGTGGTTGAGAGGAAGTGATGAGCCCAAAACAACCCCATGGTGCAGCTGGGATTTGAACATATCATGTGTCAGAAACCAGAAGGACCGCCTCTCTCCATATGAACCAATCTGAACCCTGTGATCATCACATCAGGTCCTTCTTCGTGTGCCTCCTCCGTGAGAGGTCCAGATGATGGCAACACAAAAAAATGGGTCTTTTCTTCAGTGGCTCCTGATTTGTGGAATGCTCTCCCCAGGAAGGCTCACCTGGCACCTTCATTACATATCTTTAGGCACACTGGCACTATCTCAAGGGGCCCCCATAAAATTGTTGCTGTGGTTGTTCATGGGTGCCCGGCCTCCACCCCCCACCTCCGCCCCTGGGGCTTACTCCGCACACTGCCTCCATGGCTGCTGGCTCTGCACAACCTCTGCTGCCCACCATGCCCACTGAGTGTCGAGGCTCCTTAGCACTGAGTTCACCAGTGGCAAGGCCGCTGAGCACCACCCACCGCGGCCACCCACCACCTGAATTCTGGAAAGCCACTGCTGCCCTGCAGAGGAGGTGGGATTGCGGGCGTCATGGCCCCCCCACACGCACAGTGGCTGGAGGCCAGCCCCCACGCGATTGGGGGAATCCCCGGCCCTGTCACCCCCTGGCCAGCCAATCGGCTGACTCTGGGGGCGTGGCCTGCCCTATTTAACGCAGGTGCGGCCAGGGATCTCCCTCCTTTCCCACCTATCAGCTGTTCCTGTTTCTCGGAGATCTTATCGCTGCGTTCCTGCTCTGGAACGCTTGCGCCTGCTTGTTCTTTTGCTTTAATTCCCCCCTTTTGCTTTTAGTTGCCCTGCCTGCTACTGCCTGCCTTTTCCGCTAATTATTATTTTTTGTACATGAATATTTATTGAATTTTGTAACAAATAATGATACAAATCTTATTCATCATGTTATTTACAATTATTCTCCCTCCCCAAATCCTTTGTACCCAAATCCATGGTTGTGCTAATGATGCCTCAGGTAATATATGCAGTTTGTATCATCTTAGCAACACATACAGAGAGAGTCTTCCAATGGGGGAGAGATAGAGTTAGTGTTGTTCACAACCACCCCATCCACCTACATTTGTCACGAAGGTTGGTAAAAAGCAGCATACATTGCTCTGAGTGGTGTTAGCAGGACAGCCACAGGGTGGTGACATTCATACCGCTCCACATCATGTACCAATGAGAGTGAATTAAATGTTTTGCAAGTGTTTTGTGCTTAGTTGCATTATGTGGGTAAAAACCCTTTGCCATGGCTCTGTACCTTTTAGTCGCCATCTCCTTTCATCCCTATATAGCCTCAAGATGTTTCCAGAAACCACCCCACAGCCATGGGGATAGCACTCTGTCACATCATTAAGTCCTTTTTTTGAATTTCTGAGGCATGTAAGCAATATCACTGGCTTGTTTCTTCATTCTCTCTCTATCAAAGGCACGTCTCTGGCCTCGGAGAAATGCTACAATTCTGTGATATTTCCATTAACCGAAAGAGGAATAACAAAATGTAAAATGAAAGCCTATTGATGATGATTTTCTGATACTTTTAAAGCTTGAAAAGCTCTCCCCCCTCTTTTTTTATATAACCCTCCCCCCCCAACACAATCTGGTAAATTAATTCTCAGGTGCAAGCTTAAAATAACACACCCTTTAGCAGTTGGGAATTAGCCTAAGTGCGTCAGGGATACAGTGTCAAAGGGCATCCTTTAAGAATACCAGAAAAGATTTTGTAACAAATTAAGCTTGGGATGAAACTGAGCTTGGTGTTTCAGGCCATTATTATGCATAGTTATGAAACACTAGTATGCATTAATAATAAAGATCAGTGTAGCCTTCTAGGGAAAAATGGAGCATTCTTTTAATTAACTTAAATTTTTCATCAAATTGATTGAAAAGCTCTCATCCTTCTGTACTTTCATGTAGCTCTACATTTTTATGCCGCAGGCTCAGAGTGTTTTTATCTCAAATACTTGGTGTTTTTGAAAGAGGCTGTGCGTTTGGTGTTGGGGAGGGTGGGGGAAAGATATCACAGCAACAAGCTAGAAGGAAGCAGAGGCATGAAATGTGGAAGAAGTACAGGAGATGCTTTGAAGTAGATCACTTAAAAAAGAAAAAAATATTTATTTTCCAGAAACACATGCTCTCACACACAGACCATTCCCATCATGTTAGATCTGGACCAAATCTTCAAAATGCGCCCAGATTTCCTGGGTTTCCTGTCAAATTTTGAATAGGAACATAAGAAGGGCCTACTGGATCAGGCCAATGGCCCATCTTGTCCAACATCCTGTTCTCACAGCAACTGAACAGTTGCTGTGGGCCGGGACAGACTCTGGTACTATGTCTCCCTGAGCTAGACCAAACTTTGGTGCCTCCTTCAGCCCTAGTAGCATGCCAGGCTTAGGGCAGGAGATATGGGGGCTCTGGCAAGGTCCCAGAGCCCGCCTATCTCCTTCCCAAAGCTGGGCAAACACTAACCAAGCTTTGGGAAGGAGGACTCCATGACCCTGTCAGAGTCTTCACGCTTTCTTCCTGTAGCCAGGCAAGTGCTTATAGCACTCACTCTCTGCTTGGTGCCCAGTACGGGGGAGCCAGTCACACTGCCTTAAAACCACCTCTCCTGTGGGAAATCAGCAAGCAGAATTTGAGCACAGTTCCTGCCCAGTTTCCAGCAACTGGTATTCAGAAGCAGAATTTTGTTTTCAAAATTACATTTTTGATGGGAAATTACATACATACATACATACATACATACATACATACATACTGTCAACGGAGTAGGTGACACATTTCAGATATGGAAAGGCACCTTGACATCCAAACTCATATCACCTGTTAAATGCTGTCACATACTAAGTCCCATTGCATGACAGCTAACTTTATTTTAAAAAAGAAAAGAAAAGAATTGAGATCCCTGATCCCATACGGCCCCAAGCTCCTCCCCAGACCAAATCTCTCAGCAAACACACTCCTCAACTGCTTTTTTACCCCACTGAAATATGTCTTTGAACTATGATAATGTCTCCCCCTTGTCTGGATGGAGGATGCACAGAGGTATGTATGTGTGTGGCCCCTTCTGCGTTTTAAAAAAGTATCATATAGCTTTAAGTGGTCATGGTTTCCCCCAAAGAATCCCATCAACAGTAGTCTGTTAAGGGTGAAGAGAGCTGTTAGGAGAGTCCTGCCCCTCTCAAAGAGCTGCAGTTCTTGGGATGATTTCACAGTCAATCCCTCTTTGCAGTAAACTCAGAGAACTGTAGCTTTCTGGGGGATAAGTAGGAATAAGTAGGAATGGTGTTATGGAAATGGGGAGAGCTGTAGCTCAGTGGTAGAACATCTGTGTTTCATGCAGAATGTCCCAGATTCAATCCCCAGCATCTCCAGGTAAGGCTGGGAATATCCTCTGTCTGCAAACTCTGCCACCATTATCTGGGCTGATGAGCACTGTAGTTCAAGACAGCTACAAGGGTAGCAGGCTGGCAAAAGCTAGGGTTCTTCAGGCTTGGGTCCTCCGGTGTTGATGGACTGCAACTCCCAATATCTCCAGCCAGCTCAGCCATTGGTCAGTGATGATGGGAATTGTAGCCCAGCAACATTGGTGAACTCAAGGTTGATGAACTTGGGTGTGGACAATTCTAAGCTAGCTGGACCAATGGGATGACTTGGTATGAGGCAAGTCCTTTATTCCCTTATTCCTAGAGCTTGAAACTCCAGCACAGGATTGGTCCTCTAATGCCATCAAATCCCCAGGTGAGATATTCTTAACTTGGCATGATCTGTTTGTCAATGTACTCCTGTGGATAGCAGCTCCTGTAGAACAAGAAGTAAAGAAATGATGCCTGTCTCACAGTGACCTACTGGTGGGACATTTCTACATGGCTACTGTATACATTACCAATAATTTTTTGGGGGTACTTATAGAGCCACATACCATGGCTGGCAAAGGTTAGGCTTCCTTGCGTTGATCGGGAATAAAGGTAAATTACACCATTTGGAAGGCAGAAGATAATAAATGAAAGTGTGGAATATTTTGATGAATTATACAGTAGGAATTTTCTGACATTAGCAGTGTAGGGCAGAATACAATGTTTCTGATATATAGATGGAAATTCATCATCTATATATAGAGCATTAAATAAGGATAGTACATAAGATTTCTTGATTTCTCCTCGCCTCTGCTCACCTCTCACACCAGTTTCAGCAGTAACAGGGGAACTGCTATCACCACTTTTGATAAAGCTTATTTCCTGGAGGTGAAGAAGAACATAGAATAAATGATAAATGATCAGGCAGTTCTGCCAACCACACAAAAGTTGACAATCTCCCACACACTGCTGCAAGCCAGTCCTCACTGAGTGTACCATACTACCAGGGGTGCCAACTTGAATAAAATATTGTGGGGGCCCAGGTAAGCCCAGCCCTGCATAATCGATCACATGATGCAGTCTGCACACACCATTTGAACGGGAATGCCCATCAACTTTGTGAGGGCCCAGCACCTCAAATATTTTATTGTGGGCACCGTAGCCCCCACAGCCCCTAGGAGTTGGCTCCTATGCATACAACTTTGTGGGTACTTTAAAAAGTTGACACTTTGTGCTGACCAAGTCTATCTTGACATTCAAGTCTATCTTGACATTCTTGAGGACTATAAATTTGCTTTGAAAATAAATAAAAATGGAAGTTAACATTCTTAGGATGCCAGGTTTGCTGCCCAGTTACAATTTTTGAAGCCATGGTGGTGGTAAGTTAAGGACCATCAATGTGCATAGTATTAATGATTTTTTTTCAGGTGTTTGTAATCCATACTCCTACCAAGGCTCCCAGAGCACTACACAACAGACATTAAAGTCACAATTAACAATAGCAATTGGAGTGATCCTGCTAGCGTAACTCCCCCTTGCCTGCACCAAGCCAGTGGGCTGATAATAGGGTCACTGTGCACAGAGGCCTAGTGTGTGTATGTGTGTGTGTTTGGGGGGCTACTGGGGCGATTTCCCCAGGCACAAAAACATAGGGCGGATGCTTCTGCAACTGCAGCCCCAACCAGAGCTGCTCACCATCCCACCTGCCTGCCTCACTTGAACAGCATGCCGAACAGAAGCTGAGAGAGGACAGGCCCTTGCATGCCTTTGCTGTGTGGGGAGGCAGATGGACAGTGAGACTCGTGGTTGGTGGCAGTGGCACCCAGCCCAAGGAGGCACGCATACATGTCCCGCCAATGCTTTGCAGTTCTGTTTGGCAGCAAAAGCTGTGCCTCATGAAGGCTCCAGTTAGAGGGCACAATACGTGCCTTAGGGGGCACGATACTTTCCTTGCCCCGGGTGCTTGCAACCCATGCTATGCTACTGACTGTGCAGATGGCCAGTGTAAGCTGGCAGGGTCAAAGGGGGGCAATGATGCCATACAATTCCACCCCACCCCTTTACTGGTGCAAAGTAGGGCTGGGTCGCTCTGTTAATTCCAGTTGCAAGAGGAAGCAAGAAGACAAGAGAGGCAACCTTCAGAGCCTCTCAAGCTTGCAACTGGGCAGCATGCAAAAAATGTGCATCTCTCTCTCCTGCCCTCTCCCCATATACTGAAAGCAAAGCTGATTCCCTCTTTGGGATTGCGACTGGGGCTGTTACTGAAGATAATGGCCGAGCATGGGGAAAGCAGGCTCTCGACTAGAGAGATCAGGCACCGCTGTTCACTTTGTAGTAAGGCAGGGGAACATTATTAAAGAAATCGGAAGCTGGGAGTCAAGCCAGCAGCGCCGGGGCCCTCCAAAGCAGAGACAACACCGCAAGGCGGCAAGCCATGGCAACTGAAAGGAGACTAGGATCTTGGATCCCCCATGCTCCTGTTCTTATTATTAGGACACAGCGTGACTAAAAAATATCACATCAAACACAAGAAAATCCTGCCGGCAAGGGGTAAGAGAGGAGGCTGGCCACTGTTGGAAGTGGAACTTATTGTTCACCTATGCTGGGCAGCAGGGAACAGAAATCTGGGGGCAAAAGGGCACCGTAAGCAGCTGGTGCCATGTTTCAGAGCGACAACAATGTTTCTCAAGAGAAGCGGAAAGATTGGACGCAGGCAGGATAAAGGGATGGGAAGAGCAGGAAGCGAACGTCCTCTTCCAAGCAGTCCTCTGAAAATCCACTGATCAAAGTTCCACCAGATATTGCTGCACACAAGTCATTCTCTGAGCAGTGAGAGGTGTCTGGAATGCTTTCACCTATCCAGAGTTCAGTTTCCCTGGAACGAAAGCCAATGGAGACTGTGGTGTCTTTAGGATACATGGTTTTATATATACACATATATACAACCTGAGATAGCACGGAGGTACTCATAGCATTAGCACTTCAACAGATCTTACTTCCCTATTAAGGTTTCCAGGGAGAGCCCCAAGCTATAGCTTTGGGTTCAACACAGGGCGAAACAAGCCTCTGTGTCTCCAGCTTCCAATATCAGCCAAAACTCACACAGACATAGCCTCACTTGGCCTATTGTTCCCCCTCCTAAGATGATGTAGCATCCAGCCAGGTGAGGTAGGAAAATGCCCACCCGTGTCTCTATGGCAGCAGGGCAATCCCTTTGGACATGTAAAGAGCAGTACTTAAATGGCCAGCTAAGGCCATTATCTTACAAAGAAACTGGTCTGAATGTTATAGATTCTAAGCTCAGAGATACAGGATCACGGGGGGAGGTATGATCCAGACTGACCCCCCCCCCAAGCCTAATAACAATATCCTAGAAAATCATTTAATCCCCTCTATACTCAATTGAGGGAACGCGGGTGGTGCTGTGGGTTAAACCACAGAGCCTAGGACATGCTAATCAGAAGGTCGGTGGTTCGAATCCCCGTGACGGGGTGAGCTCCCATTTGCTCGGTCCCTGCTCCTGCCAACCTAGCCGTTCGAAAGCACCTCAAAGTGCAAGTAGATAAATAGGTACCGCTCTGGCGGGAAGGTAAACGGCATTTCCATGCGCTGCTCTGGTTCGCCAGAAGCGGTTTAGTCATGCTGGCCACATGACCCAGAAGCTGTACGCTGGCTCTCTCAGCCAATAAAGTGAGATGAGTGCCACAACCCCAGAGTCGGTCATGACTGGACCTAATGGTCAGGGGTCCCTTTACCTTTATACTCAATTGATCACTGAGCTCTGCAGGAGGATAGGACCTTCTGCAGATATCACCTCATTCAGATGCCTGTTTCACATCTTGTCAGAATCAGTGCTTTGGTATGGAGCACCTACCATTTGGAATTCCCTTCTACTATATGTATATATATATAAGAGAAACACCTTCTCTGTTGTCTTTCTGGTGCCTGATAAATAAGTCCCATGGACACTCCCATGTGGCTGTGGAGTTGGGGAAATGACAAGGGAGTCATTCCTAGAGTCTGAGATGGATGGGAGAGTCATGTTCTCAGGCCAGGGCAGCATAGAAGGAAATACCATGTTCCCCCCTTCCCCTGAGTATGGCGACTTGTGAGTCATCTGAATCTGAGTCCCGCAATCATGCAGGGTACATGAAACAAACAGGCCCTGAAAATCCACATACCCTATGTCGCATTTTCTTTAAGAGGATTTATATGGATGATAATTTGAGTTCGCTTTAAATTGTTTTCAAGTTAATTCTATAATAGCATATTGCTGGCCTGTGAATTGTTTCAGTCTACTCTTATAAATGATAATGTGCATGTTTTTATATAAAAAAAATAGAAAAACAGAAGCACAATACTATATTACTTGACTCTTATGGGCTCTATAAGGTGGCCCAACAATATTTAAATAAGCACACACACAAATGTACACTTTCAGATAGGACCTTGCAACTTCAATGTAATTCAGGGCATTTGGTAAAACTGCAAAATCACACCTTCATTTTAGGCATTTGGTGAAGGTGTCAAATGACCTGGAAAGGTAAGATATGGGGGGGGGATTCTTTCTGGGCTTCTTTTCATTTCCTCCTCAAAGGGGTCCATGTCATCAATGTGACCTCTTTAATCAGTCACCAAAGTGACTCTTGGAACGCTGATTTCATAATCAATGCCGATGCCATTTCGTATAGCGGCCTCCGATACCGCTTAGTCATTTTGTTTCAGAAGTATGCGTGGAGGGTCAATACATTTCATTACTTTGTTTCATCTGAAGGACAGTACAGCATCAGGACTTTGATTATATTATAAGAATTGTCTTGATGTGACACCAGATTCCTGATTGCGCAATGCCAGACAGAAGAGCACTGGAGGGCACTCAAATTATCCTTCACCCATGCAGCTCGCCAGCCAACTATAGCAAAAGAGACTGTAAATGAAAAGGAGTGTGTGTGTGTAAATTAGAAGATGCCATTTCATTTCCACAGCTTCTGCTGGATCATAAGGGCCTTAAATATATT